CAAAATCCACACCGGTTATACTTGCAATTCCTGCCATAACTGCCCCAGACACAGAGGTTGAAGCACCAAGGGTACCTGTCGCCGGGAAAAGACCCTTACCGTCCACCAGTAAAAGTGGCCACAGCACTGCGACACATAATAATACCCAGTTGCACCAGATGAAACAAAACGGTCTTAAGGGGGATGACAAATGTGCGAGGACCGAACCTAAATCCACGGGCAGTCGATCAAACTGCGTTATCCTCTTTAATGTACCAGACTGTAGCAGTAGTCTGCTGGAAAACAGGGCCCTGTTTGATCAGGAACAGTGGTCCAACTTATGTAGCACACTGGGTCTGGACATCCAACCAGTAAAACTGTGCAGATTGTATAAGGGCACTGCTGCTCCTCAAGGCAAACCATCCCCACTGAGGGTAACACTAGGCTCTGCCGAAGATGCCGAAAAAGTTTTATTGACTTCCCAAGTCCTTTCTATAGGGAGGACCTGCAATATACGTGTTAGGCCAGATAGGCCATGGAAGGAAAGACAGATGGCGAGGGAGTCGCCAGAGCTTATTCCTTCTGCCTCCATGGTTGTTCACGGCATTCCTGAACTGGAAACTGGGAACGCTTGTGAGAAGCACTGTCACGATGTCCAGCAATGGAGATGGTTGGCATCCCAGATGGGTCTGGGAAGTTCAGGGGCTGTCTCTATTTTTAGACTGCCTCGACCCACTCACCTAATGTCAATTAACACCCCACATCTGTTAGCTGTTAAGTTTAGCTCCCGAGACCACTTGACTACTGCTCTCCAGAGATGGTACGAGACCAAAGACAAGGTCAGCAGACACATTCGCTGCTGCGAGAGCCGGCCTCGTACCCAAAGGAGAGAGCAAAACGTTGTCATAGAACATCCCCAACCCCTAGTCACAATACAGCGGTGCAGCACGGACGATGATAGCCAGTGCCATCCAAGTGCTCCGATTGAATCAGAAGAAAAAAACTCCAACAGGCCGGTTCCCGGGGAATCGGCCAGCTAGTTCGTAGGATAACTCCTCAACCGACAGCCCACATCACGTCAACCACCCCCCAATACGGGGACGTGGTGAGACTGACTACCAGTTGCCTGTACAGTAATGTGAGAGGTCTAAGAGGCAAAATAGCTGAACTTAGATACCTACAATCACAGCTGAACTCCAAAATCATAATACTGACGGAAACCTGGCTAACCCCTACGGTGGCAGACAGCGAAGTCAGTATAAATGATATGGTCCTTGTCAGGCGAGATAGGGATCTGAAAGAAGGAGGTGGAGTCGCCATATACGTCGACAAACAGCTCAGATGTGTCCATGCAATCGACCCTCCCCTCATTGAGCTCCCTGACTCCATATGGTGCCATTTCACCGTTGGGTACTGTAAGTATCTAGTGGGCAGCATTTACAGATCACCTTCATGTGGAGCAGACCACAACCAGGTACTGCTGAATGCAATTTCAGCGACACATGACCTGGGTTATGATCAAATTGTCATAGCTGGAGACTTCAATGCCCCATCTCTTAACTTGATGACGGGATGTGCCCAGGACAGATTTGATCGAAATCTGCTGCATACCATCACGGAGGCCGGATTGACCGAAAATGTCAGAATGGAGACTAGATGGGGCCCAGATGGGAAGTCTTCTAGACTGGATTACGTGCTCACTAGTGACCAGCTACTAGTGGAAAACGTTCAGATCACGACTCCCATAGGTAGTAGTGACCATGCGGTCATAACATTCGACATAGTCCTCCGCGAGCGTTTACAGTGGGACAATACACAGCCCTATCTGTGTTATAACAAAGCCAATTACACCGAAATGCGAAGACTTTTGTCTGAAGCAAATTGGCCAAAAAATTGGACAGAGCTTACAGTAGAAGAACACTGGAGAGTGGTAAAAGAGATCATTCACCAGGCGATCTCAGACACTGTTCCTTTGGTCACACCTAAAGCTAGAAAGCAACGTTCATGGCTAAAAAGGGGGACACAACGCCTTCTACAGGCGAAGCGAAAAGCCTGGTTTGCGTGGCGAGTATCGCAGAGTCAACCCGAACATGAAGAGTACCTCGAACTCAGGAATCGGTGTAACATACGAGTCCGGAGTGATAGAAGGACATTTCAGAGAAACCTCGCCAATAAGCTTCTCGTGAACCCCAAAAGCCTATACAGGTTTATGTCCGAAAGAAAACCGACCAACCAGGGAGCTTGCAATATAGTGGGTTCTGATGGGAAATCTCTTACTAGTCTTGAAATGGCAGAGACATTCAGTCTAGCCTTTCACAGGCAACTGAACAGTAACGAGGATTTTACCCTCACAAAACATCAAGATTACAATGCAAGACCAACGTGCGAAAACCTGCTGGGTACATTTCAAATTACCCCGGCTATGGTACTCATAAAATTGGGAAAGTTGGCTTCGGGAAAGTCTGCAGGTTGCGACGACATAAGACCATCCGTCCTGAAGCAGTGTTCAGAAAGTCTCTGCCAACCCCTAAGTGATCTGTTTCAACACTCCTTTGATGTAGGGAAACTTCCATGTGAATGGAAACGAGCCATCCTATCCCCTATCTTCAAGGGTGGTGACCGGCAGAACGCGACCAGTTACAGACCAGTTGCGCTACTCCCATTGATATCGAAGATATTGGAAAGTCTCATGGACGACCACATGAGGAAATACTTCGACGGGACTAACCTACTCCATGAAGCACAGCATGGTTTCAGGAAGGGAAGATCCTGTGTGACGAATCTTCTACTAGCTTGGAACGATTGGACACTATCCTGGGATGTAAAGGTACCAGTCCATGTGATCTTTCTCGACTTTGCGAAAGCATTCGACACAGTTCACCATGGTCTGCTCCTTCACAAAATAAGCAAAGCGGGTGTTTCTGGAGCACTTCTCGCATGGCTGGAAGATTATTTAGGCGAGAGAGAATTCTGCACCAAAGTCAACCGCATCCGATCATCCTGGCACACCTCGGCATCAGGGGTTCCTCAGGGTTCTATCTTAGGGCCGTTGATGTTTTTGATTTTTATCAATGACCTGCCCTGTCAACTGAATTGCTCTGCGCTTCTTTACGCTGACGACGTAAAGATTTGGAGAGCAATAAACTCATCGGAAGACTCCGACAGATTGCAGGCTGACCTGCAAACGCTGGGGGACTGGGCTCTGGCTAACGGAATGCCTTTCAACTTAAAGAAGTGCAAAGTAGTGCAACTTCATTCCGGCAGGTCACAGAGTGCAAATTACACCCTTGGTGGCCAGAACTTGAGTTGTGTGCCATCAGAACGCGATCTAGGCCTTATTTTAACAGAAAAGCTAGACACCAGTGTAAATTACACGAGGGACGTCGCCAAAGCTTACGGCACTTTACACTTTATGCATAGGCAACTGGGAGCTCTTACTCCTGAACTATTCCTAACGTTGTATACGACATACGTGAGGCCACTCCTTGAGGTGCATAATATCATTGCTCCTCCGCTACTCAAAAGGGATACTAACAAGCTAGAAAGTGTCCAGAGACGAGCGACAAAATGGGTGATCGGCCTCCGCAACAAATCATATGAGGAGAGACTGAAGAAATTAAGTCTTTTCACACTTAGTTACCGTAGTCACAGGGGAGACCTCATCACCGTCTATAAGATCCTAAATGACCAGGCCCATCCTAACAAGAGCATCCTGCCATTAAGTGATTATAGGCTTCCACGAGGTAACCCGCTAAGGATAGCACACCAGAGACCAAGGACTCGAGTGCGTTCACATTTCTTCTCGCTTCGAGTTTGCCGTCTCTGGAACGCTTTACCGGCGGCCGTAACTACAGCTCCATCTGTGGAGATTTTTAAGCGGAAGCTGGACAATCATGCAGAAATGCATGGTTTGTGTCTCAATGGCTTACCCTCTTAAAATTTGAAACCACATTGTCAATGGACAAGCATACAAGCTAAATCTTCACGACCCGTCCTGTCTTCTCCCACTGTACCGACTACTCTATCTTTCTTTCTTTATTATTTCACTTATCTCAACCTATATTATCTACACTACAACCTATTATTATCATTATCATTATTATTATTATTACTCTACTTTTATGACTATACCGAACGACCGACGGGTGTTAGGTCAAACTCCATTCACGGCAGCAGCTGAGTCCTAACATACTGCACGCTACAAACCACAATCTTGACCAATCCTCGCATCACTCCTCCTGGAGTCTACCAGAGCTAAAGCAGTCGAGTGGCGGGATTTACTACGCATAAGTTCACCGAAGATCTGGAACCTCTACCTTAAAATCAAGAAGCGAGCTCAAAGAAATCACTGGTTTATACTAGCTCGTAATCAGGATATTGGATATTGGACTTGCAATTTAGTATTGAATATTGAATCAAAGTAGTGAGGTA